GCTATTTGTGAAATAAGACTAGGTGCTATTTTTATTTTCGATCTGTTTTTATCAGTTTTCTATTTGGAAAACCAACCCATCTCTGGCATCCAGTGGATATGGGCCAAATATAAAATGTTAAGAGGCCGTTGTTACTGTTGGTCTGCTATGCAAAACTTTTTGCCTAATAGAGGTCTGTGTGTTGATTGCGTGAAAGCTGCTCAGTGTCACAAGTGCAGCCTATTGCAGCCTGAGTTTCCTTCATTGTAGGGGAAATTATGATAGAAATACATTCCTTTCTGTTAAAGATAAAGGGCTCCAACCTTGAGCCAGAGTTTTCTAATACAGTAGAAGCCATCTTATCTAGTATAATAGGGACTGTTAATGGTCTGTTAATAACCAATACTGGTTAAAATTATTTTTAAAAAAGATACATATCTTTATTTTACTTGATGATGTTAATTTGCACTCATTGGCTAGTTTTGTGTGTAGAGCTAATGTCTTTCTTTGAGTCCAAATCCACTCTTCAGAGTTCCATGTTGCCTTTCTTTCATTAACTATACTCACAATTCGGCAACCATAATTTCCAGTATTGGTTAGTTACTTTAAATTGGAACAAGAACTTAGAGGTACTTGTTAAGCAATCTGAGGGCAGACTATTAAGACTTTTATGGTTGTTTTGCAAGGAGAGAACATTTCAGAACTTATTTTTATCTTTTTGCTCTCTTTTCATGCTATTAGTTTATGTAATATTTTATTAAATTACACAATAATACTAACTAATACAATTAGTGATTCATCTTGAAAAAAAGACACAGCTCAACTAGTTGTGAATGTTCCCTGTGCTATAGGCACCAGTCAATGAGTTTTATAGGGGAAATGGGAAGGGTCATTTAATCAATTTCTACTCTACATGGATATGTAAACATTTGATAACTCTCAGTAGGGTCTGAATTTTATTGTGAGTTACCATCATACACTTCAGCTGAGCAAAATATGGTCCTTTTCTTTTGATAAGCTAGTCTCCAATGCTTTTGTTTTCTTAAAAAGAGAAGAAACATAACTTTGAATGGAATGCTATGTTATGCACTAATATTTTGTTGGTTTCTATCAAAGTGCTTGGAAGAGGGAATTGGGAGAACTGTATGAAAGTAGCATATTTTCTTGTGTACAATATTGCATAACATTAGAAAATGGATGTTTTATTTTCACAGTGAAATGTTTTGGTGTTTCTCCCCACTCCCCGCCCCCATGTTTCTCTAACTTCTGGGAATAAGAGTAGCAACACATTGATTATATTTGTCCACATGATTTCATTCCAGAGAAAATCCTATGGTATCTAAGCCCTACGGAAAGCCTGATAAAGACATTTCAGGAGACCATTTGAAGATGTCTTAAAATTAGTGACAGTTTTAAATGACAGTGCCAAAGTATATTTCTCTCTATAGTAAGATTCTTTTTCTACTAACCTTTTTATTCTTAAGTAGTTTTATTTTTCTTGCAGTCGGATTATTTTTAAACGATTTAATTGAAGGGAAAAAAATACGAAATCATCAAATTGTACCTCCAGGATTGAATTCCCTTCACTAGTTCCTTAATAGTATTTAAGTAAAAGGGGGTGCGATATCAAGAAGACTAAATTATAAATATGATTTTTCTATGCTGTTAAAAAACAACAATGCTGTCCTTGATTAACCATTATGGAGATTCCTCTTGACCAAATACCTTTAGAACTGTTTCACAAATGTATAATTTAACTAGTAATTTGGTTTAGGGTTAGGCTTTGAGTGACAGAAAATCCAAAATATAGTGGCTTAGATAAATTAGAAGCTTATTTGTCTTTCATGTGTAAGTTTCAGAGATCTTATGGTAGCTCCTTAATCATCAGGATCCCTGTCTCCTTCTGTCTTCTTGCTCCATAATCCTTAACTTGCAACTTCCCTCTCATGGTCCAAAAGATGGCTACTCAAGCTCTAGCAGTCATATCTGCCTTCTAGCTAGCAAGAAGGAGAAAAGGGAAGGAGCGAAGCCTTCAACACCACGTTGAAGAAGTTGCCATTTCCCCTTGCAGTCTGTTGACCAGATTGTATAGCCTTACTTGGTTGCAAAGGAAGCTAGGAAAGAAATACAGTCTTTATTCTGGGTGGCCCTGTGCCCAACCAATTATCACAAGTCCTGTTGCTATTTTGATATTACAGAAGAAGGAGAGCATATATTGGGGGGGGGGGGAAAAAAAAAGGCTGTTTCTACCACAAGTTAGTTTCCCTAACAAAATAAAAACTTGGATTTATATTCTTTAAAAGAAAATATCCTCTGTAGCAGTGCTGACTACATGACAGCACATTGAGCTCAGTAAATTTTTTTAAATGAACAGCAAGAAACCAGCAAATATTTGTTGAGTGATTACAGCTGCTTTGTTTCTGAAAACGTGACTCACAGGATTAATAATCTAAAAAAGAGTAAAATGAACACAGAAAATAATGATTCGAGATTCATTGTTGTGAGGTTCAAGAAACATTTATTTTGAGGAAGTATTGAGGAAGTGAAGGTAAATGTTCAATGAAGTAACTACACTCCCAGATATATAGATAAGCTAGGTAGATAGAGAAAATATATATGATATATTAAATATATATACACTTATTTTTATTATAAGATAAGTACTGTAGAGTTGGTAGTATACCAGCTTTGGTTCCCTACAGTCTGATTTTTGGGCCTCTTGGTAAACAAGTACTTTAAACTGTTCCCCCAGTTTGCAAACCTTTAATAATTAGACACAAGGCAGGTTAACTGTAATAATTTGTATGCATGCAAGATGTGATTCTTCTGCCGGGCATGGTGGCTCACGCCTGTAATCCCAGCACTTTGGGAGGCTGAGGCAGGCGGATCACAAGGTCAAGAGATCAAGACCATCCTGGTCAACATGGTGAAACCCCGTCTCTACTATAAATACAAAAAATTAGCTGGGCATGGTGGGGCGTGCCTGTGATCCCAGCTACTCGGGAGGCTGAGGCAGGAGAATTGCTTGAAGCCAGGAGGCGGAGGTTGCAGCGAGCCGAGATTGCAACATTGCACTCCAGCCTGGGTAACAAGAGCGAAACTCCATCTCAAAAAAAAAAAAAAAAAAAAAAGATGTGATTCTTCTTTTTTCATAAATTATAATGTGGTTTTTAGCTTTCTGCTGCAAAAGTAACTAATTTGTTAGAAATTTAAAAAGAGAAAGTAGGAGACATTGTGTTCAGAAAATCATGTTTAAAAACAATTAGTATGGCATCTATATCTTAGCAGGAAACTCAGACTAAGTCTGAGCCTAACCTTAACCCGTGACCAGTGGAATCTAAGTGTGTTTATTTTTACAATAGCCTTAATTTGGGGCTTGCAAGTTTTTTGGTTTGTTTTCACATTCAATTTAGAGACCCTAAAGCAGTATTTTAATGATAGGAATTAAGCTATGCATAACTTTCATGGCTTGAAGATCAGCAAATTCTGTTTTTCCTTGCATATAATGTTATCTTTCTCAGAAATGTGTGATCTTTGTGTCTAACAATGCACTTAAAAAAACAAAACAAAAAATTCCCTTGCTGCAGTGCTGGAATTCTAACAGAACTTTACTCATCTTCTCTCCCCTCACCGATTTTTAAAAACATGTTCTCATGGAAATATTGCCTTGAATTACACAAAATAGAAGCAGTTACTGGAAATATTTTCTACACAGTTCTGCTCATGTATATCAATTTCCATTTGTTTTTCAGTTTTTAGATTTTTTTCTCAGTTTCGCTGATAATCACACTTCATATCAACTTTGAACTTTGAAGTTGTGTTGAATTTTTATTGCTCTCAGCTGTATCAGATCCTACTTTTTGATAAGTTATTTTATATAGTAGATTTGTTGGATGAATGGTGAACATAGGAACAAGAAAAGAAAGCAAAATGGGTCAAACTTAGGTTTTGGTTTCTCACCAGTGTAACCAATGCTCCCTTAAACGGAAATGCTAATATACTTTTTTTTCTTTTTTCTGTGACAGTGCTTATGTTTTTGCTAGGAAGAAGAGGGGTTATTGAAAACAGTAGTTAATATCAAAGTCATAAGTCATTTATAATCAGCCTTAGAATGCCTACAGATGTACAGACATTTTTCAAAACACTTATATTCTGCCTTTTCTGAAGCGAGACTTCTCTTGGCTCAGTCTTACTTTCAGTGCTTGTGTGCTGGAAATTAGAAACTTCAGATGCCCTGTAAAATATAGGACTATACAGTTGTGGTAGGCATATTTTTATAATTTTTTTAACTCTTCTACCAAACTGTATGCTTTTTAAGGGCAAAAACTGTACATCTGCTTTACTATACACCTGTTCTTACAAATAAATGTCTAATGCTGTGGTGACTTCAAAGGGAGAAGAGGAGGCTAAGCAGGTAAGGCTCTAGGCCTTGGCCCTGCTTCAGTCAAAATCTTTCTTCTGCAGGTTGGCCATTTCTTTATTCTACATGTAGGAAATTCTTGGGATAAGAATTTTGATGGGAAGAAAAGTTTCTCTCCTTTTAAAAAAAAAGTTTGAAAATGACTGTTTAGTGGATAGATACTTTCAGTATCTTGTGACATTTTTTGGTCTAGCCCCCATCATTTTATAGGACTGAAAACGGAAACACAGAAAGGATATGTAGTCTCGTCCAGATTATACAGGTATTTAGTGGTAGAATTAGGATTAAAATCCCTTGTCTTGACTGCTTGACCAATATTCTTTATAGTGTGCTACAGCATATGTGTTGTAAGAACCTAAGAGTTTTCCAAGATCACTGCACAGTGCCTGATAACGGTAGACATTCTGTAAACGTGTATTACATTAATGAATGAATGATTCTAAGACGGTTTGTAGTTAATTACCTCTAAGCCAACTTCAAATAAAAACTATCATTTTTCATGATCCCAATGAAATATTGGCCTCTTAGAAACCCTGAATTTGGCCTGTCGTAGGACTAAGCCAATTGTTATGTATAACACATTGTTCTTTGTTAATTTTAGGATCACCTGCTGTTACCAGCTACCACCCATAACAAGACCACAAGACCAAAAATGTCAATTGTGTTACCAGCAATAAACATAAATGGTAAGTTGAAATTTTGGTTTATGAATAACACAAAATTTCTTTGTTTAACCAAGATTCTCTGCATTAGTTCAAAGACATTTAAAATGTTCAGTTAAACGAGTATATATCCATGTATTATTTCTGAAACATTTTCCCACTGTTTTCACAAAAATATTATTGTTAAAATCTGTTATTCTTTTTTTTAAAAAGTACTATATCCTTAAAAGAAAAAGTAGCTCTCTTTTACTTACAAAATTGGAAAAGCTAGCATTTTGACTGCTCTACAGGCTTGCCATCTGGGACCTTTCTTGTCATAAATGCAGTGTAAGAAGCTTCTGCTGTGTTCTGACAGTGAATTTGTAAATTAGATTTTTGGAACTCAAAGAAGTTTCCTGTGTTACCTAAATATTGATACGATCCTAGACCATGCCACAGAAGCTTATTTATGTTTAATTGATAATACAGACGAGTTTGGTCTTGGTAGTATTACTATTGCATTTTGTTCTATTACTAGCACTGGACATTAAGCAAAATACAAATAATAATATAAGACACAGATGTTAAGGCATAGTATACCTGCTTATAGTTTAGAAGGAAAAAAAAACAAGCACAAAAATCACTGTACTCCAAAGAGAAAGTCACATAACTAATATGTAAGGTACTGAGAAATCTAGTGAAGGAGAGATTACTTCCAGCTGTATTCTTCTTGGAGAAGAGAACTAACTCACTCCCATTACCAGCTGTGGATTATAAGTGAGCACAGTGTATATTATTGACTAATCACTTTCTCTGACACATCATATTGAAAATCGGAGAGTTGGCCATCTTTTTCAAGTTTGTGTATCTGACAAAATGGAGGTACTAGTAAATTTTCTGTCTGGTAGTAAAAACCTCATAGTATATGAAGAAGATGAAAATGAGAAGCCCTTTGAACTAACCTGCAGTTGAACCAATTCACATTCTGATTAATGAATATAATTAAGCCATCAAATACAATTATAAAACAAAACACTAGGACTTTGGGGAAATTCTAGATAAGTTTCAATAAAATTTAGTCTTTGGGGAAAATGTAGTATTCATTGTACATTTTAAGAGTATAGAGGACTATAGAATTTCCTAAGCTGTATATAGACAGCTTGTTAGAAATGCTTAGGAAGTAACTTTATAGACATAAACATAAATGGTTTATTGTTAAAGCATAAAAAATTACGGTAGTTGCCCGGCACAGTGGCTCAAGCCTGTAATCCCAGCACTTTGGGAGGCCGAGGCGGGTGGATCACAAGGTCGAGAGATCGAGACCATCCTGGTCAACATGGTGAAACCCCGTCTCTACTAAAGATACAAAAAATTAGCTGGGCATGGTGGCACGTGCCTGTAATCCCAGCTACTCAGGAGGCTGAGGCAGGAGAATTGCTTGAACCCAGGAGGCGGAGGTTGCGGTGAGCCGAGATCGCGTCATTGCACTCCAGCCTGGGTAACGAGAGCGAAACTCCGTCTCAAAAAAAAAAAAAAAATTACGGTAGTTACTTAGCCTTACAAAGACATTCAGAAGAAGTTTAAGAAAAATGATAACATTGAGAAGAAAGTATCTTTCTTTAGTAAAGACATACCTCTGATATTATTCATGGAATAAGCATATTACTACCTGAAGAAGAAGAAGAAATTCCAAAGTGCACTTTATTACATTTCAAAGAATGTATTTAGGAAGTCTCATTTATTCTCAATCTACAGGTACCTAAGTTTCTCCGCCTGAACTATAATAGACCAGAGGGTCTGCTTATGCTCAGAAAGGCTATTTTCTAAGCTTTATCAAGGCAGAATTCACTTAATTTCGTTATTCTGATATTGGGTTCTTATGCAAGAGAATGCCTGGTCTTATTTTGTAACAGTGAGCTATCTATTTATATTAAGCCAAACCCAACAAGATGATGTTTGAATATGTTTATCTTGGCCAGGTGACTGTTTTTGAAGAGGAGCCTTTCATGATTTGGAAAATCTAGTCATTAGAGGATCCTTGTCTTTTTAATCTGTTTCAGACTCTTTGTAAATAGTCTTCTTAAAAACTTCCCTTTTTAGGATAAGTCCTATTAAAAAATTAAGATTCCAATTCAAGAAATCCAAGAAGTATTGATTGAATATGTACCATGCTACATCCTCAGCCTTTTCTGAGCAGTCTCTTTTTTATTTTTTGGCTCTGAAGATGCTTCTTAAATTAGAGCCTGATTTTTCCCCCCTGCCTCATGTACCTCAAAGTCTGCAGCAGGGTAGGTGATACCTTTGCTTCCCACTACACCTTTCAAATTATTTCTCCTTCAGTCCCCCTAACATCTTACAAATCTATCACATCACAGTTTACTCTTCCAACCCTTCTTTGTTGCTGTCGTCTGCTCCGCCTTGACTGATGACTCCTCCACTGCCTCTGTCATCCTGCTGTCTATCTTCAGCATCCACATAGAGGCGTCATTTAGTCCTTTGGCCTTTTTTGATCCAGTCACCTTTTATTTCAGGCCACCTCAGCCTCCCATCCACCTTGTCATAATCTAGACCTTACTGTCATCAATAGTAGTGCTGTCTTTGAAATCTCCTTTTCAGATATCCCACACTCTGTTACTCACTCTCTTACTTCAAAATTCACACTCCAACTACTCTCTTACCTCACAAGTCTACAGTCCTTTGACCTATCACTTATTTTCTGTATCCAGCACATCCTTAATGGCCATGTTACATTCCTCCTTGCCCAGCCTAAATTTCATGGTCCTGTACTGTCACCACTGTCTTGGGAACACCCCTGACTTCCTGGCTCCTTTCTTCTTAAGTGCCACTCTCTTGGCAAAACTGCTCTCTAGGTAAACCCAATTCTCCTCTCTATGGCTGCTCACAAACAGCTGAGAATTGCTAGAAAATATTGTCCAGTGAGAACAAGTAGATTCACTTCAAATTTATGACCATTGATTTCAAAGGGATATTTAATATTGCCAGTCATTGCTAGTAAATTCACTTTCCCTCTCTCTGAAAAAAGAATTTCTCACCTTCTCTTGTCAAAACTCCAACATCCTCTCTCCCACCCCGTCAGCTGATGAACTCACCAAATACTACACTGAGAAAATAGATGTCATCATGCAAGAATGACGTCATGTTTCCACTACCCCTGGCCCAGCTGCATCTGCACCCACAGACTCTGCCTTCCCTCTTGTTGCACTGAAACTAAAGTCTCTTCCATTGGGTTCTAAATCCCAGCTTTGCTACTTACTAGATATGTGTCATTGGGCAAGTTAATTAATTTCTGTACCTCAGCTTCCTCATCTGTAAAAGAAGATATTAGTAATACCTTCCTCTAAGAGTTGATGTGAGAATGAAATGAGTAAAAAGCTTTAAATAGTGCCGATTTTGGGGTTAGCCTCTATGTTACTGCAATAATCATCATTGCCATTGTCCTTGTCATCATCGCCAGCTTCTAAGGTGATTTCTTCCTTTTGGACCCTGACTCTTAGCACCTCTCACAGTGCTCAAAGACTTTACTCCTGCATTTATATCATTCCTCTTTTAAACAGTTTCTTCTTTTCTACTGGATCATTCCCATCAGCACACAAATGTCTTTTTTTGTTTGTTTGTTTCCGAGGCAGAGACTTGCTTTGTTGCTCAGGTTGGGGTACAGTGGCATGACCCGTGGCTCACTCTAGTGTCCCCTCCTGGGCTCAAGCAACCCTCCTACCTCAGCCTCCCAAGTAGGTCCTGAATGCAGGTGCATTCCACTCCCAGCTAATTTTTAAATTATTTGTAGAGACAGGGTCTCCCTGTGTTGCCCAGGCAGATCTTGAAACCAAGACCAAAGGCTCAAGTGAAACCAAAACCAAGGCTCAAGTGATCCTCCTGCCTCAGTCTCCCAAAGTGCTGTGATTACAGGCATGAGCCACTGCAGCCAGCCCAAACTGTCTTACTATTACTGTTATCTCTGGTGTAGGGAGACTTCTGTGACTTCACATCCTATTTCTCTGTCACCCTTTACAGCAAAATACTCAAAAGAGTTACACTCACTGCTTCTACCTCCTTACCTCTGATTTTGTCTTCTTTTCATCCTTACCAAGCTTTTGCCGCTTCTACTCCATGAAATGCGCTTGCCCTTCCACTCCACAGAAATGCTTTTGCAAAAGGAAGTGAATGACAAATATCTCGCCAAAGTCAAAGGTCATGTCTCATTGTCATCTTACTTGACCTCTCAACAGTATTTGACACAGCTATTTCCTCCTTTTTTTTAGTCCACCCAATTCTTATTTTTAAAAATTTCAGATCTATAGAAAAATTGAAAGATGAATATGGTAAATATCTAGAGATCCTTACCTAGATGTCAGCAATTGTTAACATTTTTCCTGTATTTGTTTTATATCTATCTGTGTACACTCACCAGATTTTAAAAATCTATTTGAGGGTGAATTGCAGACATCATGATACTTTACCCCTAAATATTTGAAAATACATCAGCTATGAAAAGGACTTTCTGATACTTAACCATAATAAAATGATCATACCAAAAAAGTTTAACAGTGTTACAGTGGAGTTCATATGTAGCCTATATTCATATCTCTCCATTTTCTCCAAAAATATTCTTTATAACTTTTTAAGTTTACGTTCCTAAGATTATACATTACACCTACTCATCATACCTCTTTAGCTTCCTTTAACCTTGAAAAGCTCCTAGCCTTCTTACTGCCTTTTGTGACATTTACATTTTAAAAATTAGACTTATTTAGGTGTAAGGTACATACAATAAAATTCACCAATTTTTGTGTACAATTTAATGCGTTTTGACAAATGTAAACCATTATGAAGCCACCATTTCAACCATGATATAAATATTTTCATTACTTCAAAAAATTTCCTCATGCCCTTCTCTAGTCAGTCCCCTTCTGTACATTTTGACATCTCTTCTTTCTTGAAATATGCTATTTTCTAGGCTTTCATGAAACGATGACTTTTCTAGGTTTCCTCCTGTATCTCCTCAGTCGGTTTATCCAGCATCTCCT